TTTAGAGGATAAGAAACATATTTTTGGGCCAGAGGGGACTTGAAAATAACTAACTCTTCAAGAGGCTAAAGATCACATTAGGAAAAGTGGTTTAAATAACTGTACCCATAATAATATGTAATGTTGAAAACAGTTAAAGAAAATAGTTGCTAACACTTATTCCTTTTCCCTTTTGAGGGTAAAAACTCATGCATAGTGTATTTTGAATCGGAGATGTTCTAATAGCAGTGTGGTAGGTTATATCTGCTGGATTTGATAGTGTATCTACCCTAGCCTGATGAAATTAGAGCATCCTGATAAAGAGGAGAAAGACCATAGTGTCTTAAAAATGAAAACACATGGAATGTGTCAACAATGAACCTTAATCTGTTAAGACACTTAAAAGGGGGGAAACAACACAATTTTATACTTTAAAAAAATTATTTTTCCTCTCCATTTGATGTTTTATGGAAGTTGTTTTGGGGATGTTTTTACTGACTTTCAGGAACTGTTTGTGTTCCCAAATTGTTCAACCATATGCTGAAATAGTATCCCAGTTCCTCAGAACTTGCCTAAAGAAGAGTTATCAAATTGGACAACAGTGGCAGAATAGTTTAGAGCTGTACTGATAATCCTTATTACAAAAGTCCAGTTCCAACCCCAACCTGCTGATAGCACATATAGGTCAACACTAGCTTTGGTTAATGATAAACATAAATAAGAAAGGGTTAGGTACATGTTGTGTATGAACAACCATTCTGACTTCTACAGGAAAAATTACTCTCATTTACTGTGATTGCTTAGAGGAGCTTTTTGCAAACAGATCACTTTCTTTCCTAAGAAGATGAATTGTTCTTCTAACACATTAACATACAAAAGAAGCAAAACTTTTCACTTCTTATAATGTACCTGTCTGTAAACCTCCTCTTAGCAAGTCTTCAGTTGTGGGAGGGATCAGAGGCAGTTAACAGAGTTGGTATCTGTGTTCAAAGTACACATTTAAAGTAGTAGTTTTGTTTTGAGGACTCTTGTGTATCATGGTGGCTTTGAGGGGATAAAGTTAATATTGCTTCCTGAGCCTGCCATCACCAACAAGGTTGATTAGAAGATCTAGAACATCATTTGAGACTTGAAAGATAAGTATGGCCCTACTGTAGTCTAAAGTTCTTTGTTGATACGCAGTTGTAGCTAAAACTATGTAACAGGGACTGAAATCCATGCAGCTTTAATAGTTTATTTTCCCTCTGGCTTCACTGTTCATAGAATATGTGCCCTATCACTTCCACCCATATTCCTGGGCTGTTTAAACCACAGGCTGATCTAGCCTGCAACATGCTAATAAGGCATTTTGGCTGTAGAGGACTCCCAGTGAGTGTCTCAAATGCTATTCTGACAGAATTCTGAAGTTAAATGTTTAGTATTATTGCTGTCTTGGAATTAAAGACTTTTGTTCATGAGGAAGCCCCTTTGTGGGGAACTGCAATCATTTCTGCAAATGCACACCTGTTTTGCTTGATGTACTCAGTTCATAAGTAGGGTTGTACTACGCTTAAAATCAAACATATATGTAAATGACTGTACATAATAGAGTGGAAATTGACCTATAATATTGCCACAATGCTGGGAGGAGTAGGATAAAATGTGGGGAGCTTTGAACTTGAGAAGAAAAGCTAGAGTGTTGGGTATAATCAGTGGGGATCTTGGCAAGATAACATTGCTAGTTATAGGTAGCTGAAGAACCTACTATTTTCAGATATTAAATTGTCTGTATCTTCAGTGAAAGCATATGGCTTGTTTAAAATGATTGACATAAACTTCAAATTCATACTGCAACTAAATGCTACTCCAGCTTCTGTCAAAGAGTGGAAACTGTAAATTGTCTGCTTCAGTATAGACTCATGCACAGTTAAATGAAATGGATATTTTTTTTTACCCCCATATGGGGGCCAGGTTGTTTTTAAATAGATTCCTTTATTATGTGCTGAAGTTCAGTATTAAAATTCTAAAATATTATCTTTTGCATGAATAAAAGGATTCTATGAATAAAGCTGTAATGATTTGAACCAAATCCTGCTCTTGCTCTTCCCAGAAGCAGTCAATTTTACAGTTAGAGGGCTGTTTTAATCAGTAGTTAAGTACTTGTCTAAACTACGCTTTAAGAACATGTATCTGAGCAGTTTTGAAAGCAGCTTATGTTATTTCTTCAGAGCCGTTGTAGAAATCAAGTGACTATTTGGGATTAAAAACTTTGGTTAAAATAATGATTGAACACACTTCTGCAACTGACTTGCTGTTTTAGATGTAAAACTGCGGGATTATATTCATTTAGACTGTAGCAGCTCTGTACTGAGCAATGCAAATGCATGCTCACCTTCTAATTTCTTGTATTTCAAGCCTTGGGTAGTGGGTTCTGTGGACTGAAATGTAATTGAATTTAAAAGGCCCCCCCAAAACCCCCAATTTCTTTCCAGTGTTAAAAGTGTATGGAAAAAAGCCTTCTACTTGCAGATGCAATCTGCACTAGACTGCTCACTGAAAATTTCCTGTGGGTTCCTATCTGTCATAGGTTGTTTTCCTATCTATATTCAGTTTCAGTTATGCTCATGAAAGTGTATTCAAGACTATAAGTGACTTAATGTCATAGCTGTTATTTTGCAAAGAGCTGTTTAAAATAGTTCTGTAATTGACCCTGATGTACAGCTTTCCTTGCTATTGGAAATGCCTTGAATATTTTGCTACAGCCTTCTCAAACTGAGATGGTGAGTGAATAATGTGTCTTATCTTAAATTGTTGAGATAAACTTAAAGCTGCAGTATCATAATAAATTTAACACTTCAGTTCTGGTGATTCAGGCAATTGATAGTAGTAGTTCTCATGGGAATACCTGATGTTTGAATATCAATAGCCTGCTAGAGCAGGGGTCCCTCCTAGTACTTCAGGTGTTGTGAATATTGTGTTTGAATTTGAAAAACTTGGAGCTGTTCATAAGTAGGTTGGAAAATTGCTTGTACAATTTGCTGTATGTTCTGTCCAGTTACTTGAATCTGTTAAGACTATTTTTTTAACAGCTTCTTCTTTGTGTTATGGAGTGATTAAGTCTTTAACAGCGTTGTCAAATGTGGTAATGTATTTGAGTTGGCTGTAGTTTTCCAGCTGCTTTAAGTACTTTGAAAATGTTTATGCGGATTGACAGGCGTTATACCACATCGCACTGAGGTATTAGCCTGTTGTTCAGTGATATCTGAAAACCAGCTGCTACTATATGTCTGCATACAAACCTCCTCATGACATCAGGAGAGCATATTGAATAGTTTTGCCATTTTTGGCCTAGGTCACGGTTTGTCTAATGCTATTTTCTCTTGCTGCTCAAGGGCACTGTGGCTTAAATTAGTTTTCACATGCTATAATACAAAAAGGGAATTTGTGGCTATTTATTGGATCCCTTCATATGCATATGCTTACAAAAACACGTGTCTAAGTCTCCAAGCAAAACTAAGCAATCTTTTGCTGATTTTACTGGTTGGGGTTTCCTTGACCTTACAAAAAGTCACGTGGTGCAAGTTTACTTAACATTTGAAGTAGCACTTAATTCTCTTTTCTTCAGCATTTTGTTCCATAGTTTTCCTGTGTGAGTGGTTTTATGTTCTAAGGCTGTAACACCACTGCAGAGTTTTTCGTGGTGTTATTTGTTAATGTGCATTATTGCTGTCAGTTGCATAAGCAGTTCCTGCAGGAATTGCAGCTTGTTTAACTTTACTGCAGGGACACAGTCCATTTACGGAGAAGACCAGCTCTTTTTAGCTAGTTATTCTCCCTTCTTGGTTTCTTTGCATTATTTTATAATAAAAAGGAAGTTGACACTTGAGTACTCACAGTGCTAAATTATGTTAGGATTGTTTGATTATATGCATTCATTGGTAATATTGACATGCAGAATGTAGACACCCCCCCCCATGAGTCAGAAACATGACTCTGATTAATATGCTTTAGCCAGTTAATTTGCTTGCAGACGTTTATTTGCAGTAGTCACAAAATGGTGGAGCTTTACTTTTTTCTTAAAAAACAGGAAAAGCTAGATAAGAGAAAGTAAGAAGGTGGAAGAATTAATTCAGGGATGGTAGAGATGGTGGAGCTAAACTGGCCACCACACAGCTCTGGCAACTGACTTCATTATTCTCTGCCATCTGCTGCCTTGGTGTCTCAGACACTTGCTAGTGGAGGTTTTTTGGTTTGTGGGTGGGTTGGTTGATTGGGTTTTTTCCCTCCAGTGTTGTCTTCTGCAAAGTAGAAATACAGATGACAAGATAAACATAGCATAGAGTTTCGTGAAAACTTTAAATGGGATAAGGATTGTGATATATTTCATAGAGTAGCATTACTGAAAAATAAAGCTAGTGTATGATCTGAAATTAACTTCCAACTCTGAAACACCTGGCAGTATTCAAAGCATAACATTAAAAGAGCAGATTTGCAGAAGCATGTTATTCTCACAGTTGGTGCCAAAGAAAAGGAAAATACAACTTCTTTTAGTTTTTAAATAAATAAATGTGGATAATGCTCTGATATTGGAGAGCAGAGGACTGACTTTGGGCACAGAGAAAACAACCAGAAGACTTTCCAGGAGCAGTCATTCTGAAAAGGAAACTTGATTCACCTTAGCTATGGGTTTTGCTTGTTTATAAGTACATGTTCTGAAATTGATTTTTCTCTTGAGAATATTTTCCCTTTGCTCTCAAGTGGTAGTCACGTGATTAGAAAATCCAGTGATTTGCAACCTCTTTCTTTGAGGTTAGGTAGGGGTAGGGAATCCTGAAGGCAAATCTAAATTGCTGAAGTATATCAGATACTCAGAAAACTGGAATATTGCAAACCACAAAAGCAGTAATAAGCTGTTAGTAACTGTTCAGTCATCTGAAGGTTACTGGAAAATCCTTTTCCTGGCTGATAGAGGTAATAGTACGCTTGGTTAGAAATCTCTCAAATAGCAAAATTCTAACTTTGTCTTGTTCATGTCTTTGTAGTTGGAGACAAGGTTCCTGCTGATATAAGAATTACTTCTATCAAATCTACAACTCTAAGGGTAGACCAGTCAATTCTCACAGGTATAATTTCTGTGAATTTTGGATAATTATGTGCATAATTGAAAGTGCCGTTTCACTGTTTGTTTAGAATAATCCATTAGAAACAAGCCTGTAGCTATTCAAGCACTGTGTTGCATTCAAGTGCAGTAAATTTCTGATCTAGTAGCTTAACTCTTAGAGTGGCTGAATGTGTTACTTCATCATTATTGGCTTTACATGTTCACTTTAGTGGGACGAACATTCTTAGTGAGACTAGTAATGCCTTTTTGGTCTGTCTTTCCTGCCGCCCTGAGACACACAGTAGTAACTTGTGGGAGACTAAAAAAATGAAGAATTTCTATTCTAGTTTATGCAACCTTCTAGGTTGGAACATCTTGTTACTGCTCAAATATGAAAGTATGGAAATCTTACTAAATGTCTTCTGTAACAGTTACCCATTTTCTCTCACAAGAGAGTAACTTTTTTGAAATACAGGCAGCTTGCTGTTACTAAAGACTCGGCACACTAAAGCCTTATTTGCTGAAATTCTGTGCGTGCACATTCATGTGTTTTCTGGTACCGTCTCTCAAGTGCAGGACCTATATTTAGAGCACTTCTCAGATTTGTTGAAAACAAAATAAAGTAGCAGTACTTCTGAATATAGGAAAGAAGCTAGGAATCAACCAAGCATGCTATAATATTTTTCTCTCAGCTGGAACATGAAGATCTGTCTGCCTGTTTTGGTAGCATAAATTAATGTTAACTAGTCCTGAATTTTAAAACAGTAAAGTATTCATAAGAAACCTATTTTTAATCCTCAAATCTGTCTTGAAACAGACCCCAAAGTTTCGCAGTACAGATCCTGAATAGCACAGAACTGATCAAGCTTACTTATGTTTAGCATAAGAAAATGTAGGCACTCCATGTTTGTCAAACTATCAGAACTGAAGTAAGTAGAAGAAATCCACCAAAAGCCTACATAAAGGGAATAATTCCTTGTCTTTAACAGAATTATTTTTTAAAGAAAATCTTTTCTGTTTTCAGCCTATTTTAAGTTGATGCTTGAGTCTCCTAAGCAATAAAGTAGGACTGAAGTCTAAGATGCTACTTAACAAAGCTTTTAAAAGTAGGAAGCTTTGGCTCTCTTGAGCTTACAAAAAGTAGTGTGCTCTTGGCTTCAGTCACTGAGTTACCACCTTGTGAAATCTGATGTAATTAACATCTGTTTTTATAGAAAAGAAAACTTTCTATACCTGTGTGACATGTTTATAGAAATTGATATATTTAAGGTCTTTATGGAAGAGTTCTCTGAAGACTTCCAACTAAAGGAGTTAACTAACAGATGCCTGCATGACACGTAAAAAAAAAAAAATTCTGCCAGTAAAACTGTGATGTACACCATGACAGATGTATAACTGTGGTAACATCTAATTATTTAAATGAGAACATACCTCTTACAGTGCATAGACAATAGAAATGCTCGTTTCTGCATAAGAAGCACACAAAACATCTAATTCATGCAGTACATCTTCCTACATTAAAAGGAGGAGTGGAGTACCAGCTGCTTACTTTTCTTATTCCTTCAAAGATGTGTATGCTGACTATGTAAAATGTTTACTTAAATCCTTTCCTGTTTTCATTAAAAGCCAGCCATTCAATCTTTTTGGTCAGCTGAAATACTTCCTGTTTCACTTAAACAATTAAATAAAATCATTTGAGGAAAGAAGTTTGACATCTTAAAAAAATTTAGGACTGAGGATTATAACTTTTTGATTCCCTACAGGACTCAAGATGATACATGTATAATCTCTTCTTAAGACTACTGTCTTTATTTTAGGTGAATCTGTGTCTGTTATTAAGCACACTGACCCTGTGCCTGATCCTCGTGCTGTAAACCAAGACAAGAAGAACATGCTTTTTTCTGTAAGTTATTTGTTCTGAAACTTTCAAAACTCTTACAATACTGAAGCTGATAAACAAATGTGCAGAACTTCAGGACTTCACCTAAAAGCTGTATGACTTCTGTGCTGTATTCTCTATATGCATCTGTATGCATGTCTCCATGTACATCGAACTGGAAGATTTCAAAATTAGAAGTAACTTTTAATAAAAGCTGTCTTCAGGCAAGATGCTTGTTGAAACCAGTTTATATGAGGAAACTGATTTTTGTCCTTCACAAGAAAGTCTTGAAGGGTGGAGCACATGCACTTTTAAAGTACTTCTATACTACTTTTCTAAAGTAATAGTTCTTAAGACTGATAAGAATGCCCACACAAATTGTGATATTGTGTTGCTAAAATTGAGAACTAGCTTTCTGTATAAGAATGAAACATTTTATTCAGATCTGTTTAAAGGAAGCATTGAATGCCTTTCAGATAACAAAAATAACAATTCTCTTTATTGTTGGTATGCTCCTTGTAGAAAATCTTGTCCTTTTCCATGTCAAGTATGTTCACACAGGGAGCCCCAGAGAACACATCTGTTACTCACAGTAAATAGCATTAAGTCTGGCAAAATACAATCCTAATTAAAAAAAAAAAGGAAAAACACACTTAAGATTCCAATTGAAATACATACTGCTTACGCAGCAGCTGTGTTTGACTGTGCTGCTTATAATAGATCAATACTGATTCATTTTGAGCCCATTCTGTGAGCAGAAATTCTACACTTATTCCCTTACAAATACTGGGGCAATGTCATTCTCTTCCTCTTTACCTTTTTCTATATCCTAGCTGAAACACAGTCTGGACTTGTATAAGGGTTTTGGTTTTGGGGGGTTTTGTTTTCTTCATCAAAACCTGTTTATAGATTGACAAGTTTTCTCTTCCCTTTTCTTTATTTACATTAGGGTACTAATATTGCTGCTGGTAAAGCTATGGGAGTGGTTATTGCAACAGGAGTAAACACCGAAATTGGCAAAATTCGTGATGAGATGGTGGCTACCGAACAAGAGAGAACCCCGCTCCAACAGAAGCTGGATGAGTTTGGAGAGCAGCTGTCTAAAGTCATCTCGCTTATCTGCATCGCTGTTTGGATAATAAACATTGGTCATTTCAATGATCCAGTTCATGGTGGCTCCTGGATTCGAGGTGCTATCTATTACTTCAAAATTGCTGTTGCTCTTGCTGTTGCTGCTATTCCTGAGGGTCTGCCTGCTGTCATTACCACCTGCTTGGCTCTTGGAACCCGGAGAATGGCCAAGAAGAACGCTATTGTTAGAAGTCTTCCCTCTGTGGAAACCTTGGGTTGCACCTCAGTTATTTGTTCTGACAAGACTGGTACGCTGACCACGAATCAGATGTCAGTCTGCAGGGTATGTTGAACTAACTTCTTCTGTTTTTCTTTTTCTCTTCAGCCACTCTGTTTGAATAGTCAGCATTGCTTGAATTCTTTTGGTGGCAAGTCTTTTGGTTCTCATATCATCAAAATCTTGCTTTATTTTCCTAAGATAAGCTTCCACTTTTAATTCAGTTTTCCACTGTGTAGTGTTTAAGCCTTTTATCTCTTCCCTTATTTAGTCATGGCCAAAAATAGCTGTACCCACATTTGATGGAAGAGAAAGTTGTTTGCAAGCAGCTTTCCATTGATTTGTCTGTAAGCCATTCAGTCTACTGGTAATTATTTAGTATGATTCCTACCTTTCTGAAACAGGATAATAGTTACACTGTAGAAACAGGATGTGTGCGAGTGTAAAACACTTGCCTCTTTAATTTAGCAAGATGACAACAGTGGAGAAACTTAGCAATGAGAAAAAGGTAGAAGATTTGTTACAGTAACTTGGATAGTCTAAGGTGTTTTCACTACTGAGTGGTTCTACCTTTATTTGGTTATCTTATCTTCAGTAGCTCTTACTGATCTGATGTAGATCACTAGTGTTTTTAATGTGCAATGTTGCATGACTAATCTGGCAACTTGCAAGTGCGGTTGACCCTGTCATCAGCGTTGCCAGGGTCATCTTCAATGTATGGCATATTTTTAGGTAAGCATAAGTTATGTGCCCCTCTTCCCTTCCCCCAGTATTCTTTCTAGTGTTGATTAATTTGGGACTTCTATAGCTAGTTACTTAATGTTTGTTCAGTTGCCAGTTCTCTGTGCTTCCCATATACTTGATATTCTGTGTAGGAATTTTATGGAGAAAACAAGTTCTTCTGTCTAATAATTGTAGATGTTCAGTGGCGTAGGAGCTCTATGACATCAAATGTTCAGAGTCATTACACTGGGTTAGAATTCCAAATGTGTAACTGTTGAGCACTGCACACCAGTGGCAAAAGTTTGTAAGCCTTAAGCACTTTATTCTCATGTGATTGATGGCTTTTTCTTTCTAACTGGTGGTTGACTCGTTCTACTTCCTTAGGTATTGTAGTATTTATACCTAAGAGACACAAAGCAGCTGCTCATCAGTATTCCAGAGGAGGTTACTTGCAGTAGAGTTGCATAACTGCCCTAGTCTTTGCAGGGATTTTTCATCATGCAGATGCAAAAAGCAGAAGGCTTCCTGGTTAACTCATCATTTAAGTTGTGTTTATTTAAAAGCTCAAAATGCTCTACTCCTTATATTTAGAGGGCTAAATGTTTTATATCTTGTGCAGTACAGCTTCCTTGGTTCCTTGTTAACCTCTGACAGCTACAGAATAACCTTAATTGCAAGATTTTGCAAAATGTAGCAAAATCCTAATACCTGTAAACAATATGCTTATTCTTGGTTTTACTCTGAGAGATTGCTTAGCTTTCTAAGAAGACTGGTTTACAACAGTAATTCCACTTGGAGTTTTAGTTCTCGTGTTAAGTAGTAACTCCCAAGTGTCCAAAGGAACCCTATACTGAAATGTTTCAGTCAGAAATGATACTGCTTTAGGAGGAGACTTGAAGGATTGTTTTAATGTCTTCCTGTGCTATCTCCCTCTGAGAATGAACTTACTCTGCTTTGTGGGCTTTTAATTTATCAGCTTGTCTAGCTTTTTGATTTTTAAAATCACTCTGAGGATTATAGGGTCTCCAGACATTGATGCAGATCAGTTACAGAACACCTAATTATTAGGCTGTATTTTGTGAAGATGCTTGCCTAAAACATAAGGCAGCACAATGAGGGGAAAGTAGGACATTGCTAAAATGTGGTATGGCAAAATGGCTTATACTAACTAATGGGTAAGAAGTTCCATTAAGATATACTATCAATTGGTGAGAAATTATTTGCTTCTCTACTACCACTTTAGCAAGTCACAGTAAGAGTATGACAGCTTCAGGCACTATGGGGTTTTTTATCTCTGTCTTCACAGATGTGGTTCTGCCTGCAGCTCTCCTAGAAAGGAAACAGAAACAAAGGAAAGACAGATGCAGGTGTCTTATGGGGTACAACTGCATCCTTCAAATTGATGTCTTTATTTGCAAATAACATTTCAGCCTGTGCTAGAAGGGAACTTGAGCTGTCTGAATGTTTTCAAGCTACCCAGTGCTACTGGATGGCAAAGTGACTTATAGCTAGAAAACGAGGACAGGAAGCAGTTTCACTTAGTGGCTGGTATTAAGGGAAACTGGCTATAGTCTGACTCTTGCCTAAAACCTCACCTCTTAGATCTAGAAGCTTCTTCTGTTTGTGGATGCTTTTGTTTTTACTTTGGCAAGAATTGTCAGTTTCCAAGCTGCCCTATGCTGCTTTTGATTGGAACTGCTGTTTCAAACTTGTACATGAGAATTAATTTACAATTCTGAAGCCTGGGAAGATCTTGGGTATAGTCAGGATTGTCAAGTGGATGTCTGAGTGGTCTTCACAGATGAAGTTAAGCATACATAGTTTATGTGTTTTTCAACTCTGATGTAGTTGTGGCACAATTTAGTTTTCAAATGAGATCTGTTAAGCAGAAGTGCTTTTTTCTGTACTTCTAGCTTCAGTATAGGGAGCTGTTCAAACATATACGGGATCAAAGTGCAGAGCATTGTATCTGGTTTTGCCTAGTTTGTTTATTCAACCTGAACTTGCCTCTTGTACCTGCTTGCTTCAGGCCTGTTTAAATCTTTTGCATTAATTATTGTTCAAAGATAGTAACGCTTCTAACTCTAATTTCAGATGTTTGTCCTGGACAGAGTAGAAGGAGATAGCTGTTCTCTGAATGAATTTACTGTAACTGGTTCAACCTATGCTCCCATGGGAGAAGTGTAAGTGTTCTGTTGAAGTTAAATATTTGTCTGTTTATGCATTGATTATTACTTTAGGTTTGAAAAGTGATGCATGTAATAATATTCAACAGTGGTTGTTAATAAATGAAAGCTCAGCCAGTGAGAATGCACACTGAAGGACTGGGGGGGGAAGTAATTAACAGTAAAAGGAAGTTAAATTCTAGAAAAGTAAACCTTCATGAAACTTAATATAGTATCCAATATTGCAATGTTCCTTTTGATAATCAAAAAATAAATTAGGGGTAAGTTGAGAGGATTTATTTAACTGAAATCTTGCTGGACTGAGATTAGCTATCCCAGTGCTTCAAACTGAGGTTTACTTTTTTATTTGAAACAAACTGCATAAATCTGCACAGGTAAGCCTCTGTTCATCTGTGAACACAATGTTTCCAACTCCCCTGCCTCAGAGAGGTTAGGAGGTTTTTTTTCTAAAGCATTTTATGAATGTGTTGGAGTTAATTCTTAAATTCTTATACTGTAAATTCCTGTCCCCTGTCCTCAGTAGTTTATTGGACTCGGTGCATCTACTTGAACAGATGTGTGTTTTGTCTCAGCCTTTGGTATTTGAGCTGGTGTTAAACCCACTCCCTTAGGAAAGGAATTACACGTTTGGTTTACTTTATCAGTTGTGAGTCTCTTCTAGTAGGATAGGTGGTTCATCCTGACAACTTCAGGAATTTTTAGGGCTCTGCTTCTAGGAGAGCTGCTTCTTACTGGATTGTTACAGCTCCTTTTACTTGGCCAGCCTTTCAGGTGTTTTTAATCTTACTGCTTCAGTATTACTTGCAGAAAAGAATTCTACTATGTATAAAGTAGAATTGAGATTCAATTATTGTAAACATTTCAGCCTTGTGGAGTTTCACATGCATGCCTCTGACTCCATGCAGTCTTCACCGATCTCAGTAGTAATTATCTCTGTTTAATTTTCATACCAGTCAAGACCATGGTGTTCTCAGCAGCTTGAAGTCTTAATTCCCCAGTTCTCTTTCGTTTCAAAGCTAACTGTTGTCAAAAGCTTACGCTTTTGTTTCAGGAGATGGCATTTACTTTAGGCAAGGTGACATTCTAGATCTTGTAAAGCATCCAGCTGTTATGGTTTAGCTGGTCCCGCAAGAGCTCTAGATAAACAAAATAATAAAATATAGTGTGGTGACAGATGTCAAGTATAATAAGACAGTCATCAATGTATGTTAATGTTCTGGTTTTACTTGCTGAAATTGGGGAAATGTGAACAAGCATGTTAATCGCACTGCATTCACGTACTTAAAGAACTTTCTGTGAAAGGGAAATTACCACAGAAAGGCTGTTATTGGAGCATAAGGAAACAAATAGCTAAATTCTCAAACCTTGAGGGCTGATTTAGTTCTGCTTTTTAAATCAGTGGCTTTGTAAGGATTTTAAGTAAGGTGACTGACTTCACCTTGGATTGCAGACTGTCGCTGAAAACAGTTTTATGGGGTCCTCAGGAGGCAATCTAGTCCATTGCACTACCCAAAGCAGGACCTGCTCTAGATATGAACCATTCCTGACAGATGTTTCTTTGTTGTACTTAACTTTGGATGCTGTTGTCTTCCACAGCTGTATAGGCAGACTACTGTATTTCATAACCATTAAGCATTTTTGCAATAAATCAAGAATTTTTCACTTACTCTTAAATCATTTGATACATAACTTTCCTTAAGATGCATTCAGAATATAAAATTACAAATATTTCTTACTGAAAAACTAAAATGTCATACTGACTGATTTCCCAGGGATGTTAAGAGATTGTTGAACAGTTTAGAGTAGTTTTGTCAGGTCTCAGCACATGCAGTGCGCATGCTTACTTGCAAACTGAGAGCATAATACTTAACAATAATTAAGTACTGCAGCAAAAGCTAGCAGATTGCATTTGACCTTCAGATGAGTTCATCTTTAGCTAATTGGAAAGCCTGAAGTTTCAAGAAAAAAAAACCAAACACTTTATCCAGAACTGACCCCAGCAACTTAGACTCCATGTGCACTTGCCATTCTTCAGAAATTGTTAAGGAGCACACAGACAAGAGGGAAAAAACCCAACCAAACAAACAGAACAAACCTGGTATAACAAGTTGTGGATATTCAAATATGCTAGTTTCCTTCAGGTTCAGAACAGGTGATAACAGGAAGCATTAGCTGTGATAGATGAGGTGACAAACTGAGAGCTGCTGGGATGTTTAAGGAGTTGAGAGTTTAAAGCCACTGCTTATGGCTGTAGAATTATATGCAAAACAAAACTTTAAAAGCATACTTGTTTTCTTAAGATGCATTTTGTTCACATGCTGTGTTACACAACACTGGAATTTGTTTGCGGTACTACAAGAGACTGAACAAAAGCTTACATAATCAGACATGTCATAGTCTATGTTACGAATTCTTACAGAGTAGTGATCCATGTCTTTCTACCACCAGATCTTTTTTTCCCTCCTTGAGAGCTTTAATGAAAGATGTTGTATATGAGTTGTGTTGCTAATTTTGATGGGGGGGCAATAACAGTATTGAACACTGTCTTGCTTCTTTTATGCTTACTCTAGAAGTATGCTAATGTTCCAGAAAATGAATTCATTTATTATCTATTTCCAAATGTGAAAGCAAAGAAGGTGCTTCTTTTTTGTGATATCTAAATGGTGCATTACTTGAGGAAAATGTACCTTCCTTCTTTCTAGAGACTTCAAATATTCATCATTAAGTGTATAAGACTACTAGAAAAAAGTGTTTCTTTTTCTAGTGGAATTCGTATTGTGAAATGACTTAGCTTTTCATTGGTTTAGGAGGTTCACATATGGTACAGATTAAATTTTAAGAAATTAAGGAAGCCAAATCTGCTTTTATGCTTGACCAGTGCATGTATTTCATGCATGGCAGTAAATTTGCAGAATGTGCAGTAAGGTTAAGGAAGCTAAACTCCTAAGGTATCCAACAACATGCCTTTCCTACTTGGAACTCCCCTCCAAGTCCTGCACGTACTCTAATACTGCTTTCGTATGCCTCTTCACTAAGCTCTTCACTTCTCTTCTACATTGCTATGTGACTGGCACTGGAGGAAATAAGGTTTTGTAATTCAGGTAGTGATTTCATTGACAATCATGTCATTCTGTTCATGACTCTGATCTAAATTTCAGAACTGACCTTTATCAAACCTGCTCTTCTCAACAATTTCTGGTTCTGTAGTTCCAAGTCCATAGCTAACAAGCATTGTACTATATGGAAATACAGTAAAGGGATTAAAGAAGGTGAAAAGGTGAGATGCTAATACTAAATAACTAACTTAAATCTCCCCCTTTTCTTTCTTTGGAAAGGCATAAAGATGACAAACTTATTAAATGTAGCCAGTATGATGGCCTTGTGGAACTTGCAACGATCTGCGCGCTCTGTAATGATTCCTCTTTGGATTACAATGAAGTAAGTACATATCCTAGAACAGAGGAGAGTGTGAGAATGAGGATGTTTGTTCTGATCTGTCTATGGTAATTCCTTTCAGTGGTAAATCCCCTTCTAAGTCAAGGTGCAAGAGTATTTAGGTCCTCTTAAGTATTAATTCTGGGAGTGACTTGTTTGTTGAACACTGAGAAAACTAAAGCCAAGCAGCAAGTGTAATCTGAAACTTGGAGATCTCCTGCTGTGTAGCATGCACTGCTACTTTCTTGCCTTGCCTCCCCTTGCCTTCTTAAGGTTGCTGCATCTCATAATGACTTAAATGGTTGATGATATGATAAAGTGCTGACATCCTTCTCTGCCCTGCAAAGCTGCTTTTTAAAAATAGGTTTGCTTGTTTTGTAAGCCATAGTAAGTCTTGTGTTTTTGTTTGCTTTGTGTTAACTAAAGGCTAAGGGAGTATATGAAAAAGTTGGTGAAGCCACAGAAACGGCACTTACCTGTCTGGTTGAAAAGATGAATGTATTTGACACAGACTTGAAAGGACTTTCTAGAATTGAACGTGCAAATGCTTGCAACTCGGTCAGTACTCTTTTATCTGGAATTCATTGGGGAGTGAGTTTTGTAGTATGTATTATTTAAATGCGTTTTTGTACTATTGTTTTTTTAAAAGGTGATAAAACAACTCATGAAGAAAGAATTCACTCTGGAATTCTCAAGAGACAGGAAGTCTATGTCTGTCTATTGTACACCAAACAAACCAAGCCGCACATCCATGAGTAAGATGTTTGTTAAGGTCAGTTCCTCCCTTGAGAAAGTGTAGCTGTGGAACAGCTGTAAAGGTAGCACAACAGGAAAAAACTATGGCTCAACTAACTGCAGCTTGAAGTTGAAGGAAGGACTTTGTAATTTGATCAAATGCTGTAATGGAAAGGGTTTTATTAAGCTAAACTATGTTTGGGGGTTTTTTTTTTGCCTCTGCAGGGTGCTCCTGAAGGTGTAATTGACAGATGTACACATGTCCGTGTTGGAAATGCTAAAATACCATTAACCTCAGGAATTAAACAGAAAATAATGTCTGTCATTAGAGAATGGGGAACTGGTAGAGATACATTACGCTGCTTGGCTTTGGCAACCCACGACAATCCACCCAGAAAAGAGGAAATGAATCTTGAGGACTCCTCAAATTTCATTAACTATGAGGTAAGTTTAGTAAAATATCCTTTTAATACTTCTTTCTCTCCCAAACTGGAGAATGGTGACTCCTTATGTTTGATTATTTCTTGAGGAAGTTATGTCTGAGAACTTGTTCTTCCTGGGTGTTTTTGATGTCAGATGCCATAGTTAGCCATGTGTGTGGAGGGAATGTTCAGTTTAAGAAGAGACTGTTTGTGTCTTTGAAGAAACTGTGTTCTTGATGGCTGGTATAGATGCTGCTGCTTGGCTAAAAGTATACGAAGAAACCAGTTACAGCTAGCTGCGAATTGTATTATTTTACATAAGTACTTAAGGTCCTCAGGATCATAACACCTTAAACTGTTCTCAGACACTGACTCTGAAAAATATTCCAAAAATTGCATTGTGGTTTCAGCTTCAATGATTTTCAGTTTGAAATTGCTCAACTGCAAGACCTCTTTGGGGATTTTGTGATGAAACATACCTGTCATTCTGTGCTCTAAGACTCAAGTTCACTTCCCTGCCTCCATGCTGTCAGCTGCAAAAGCTCAGTCCATGATTATCATCTTAGCTACTCTGTAATTTTCCAATGAAATCTGTATCTGGGATTTAGGGGGGGGGGGGAATGACAACAGTTGTATGAGAGTTTTTGGCTTGTGCTCAGTGCTTCTGGCACTGATTACAAAAACGACAGACTTGACTGCTTGCAGGTTGAATTTGCAAGGCTGACAACCAGAGCACATTTTAACTAATAAAACGAGTGCCTTTGTAGCAAGATATGTTTGGAAAGGTAGGGTCCCATTTCAGAGTGTGGTCATGCTTTGGGAATTAACTGTGTCCTCCCATATGCTCATCATGTAGAGGGTACCATGTAGCGTTGTGATTCCAAAAGCATTAAATTCTTACTTACCTCCTCTTACTTGCTAATGTGCATGTAGATTTGTGACTTCTCAGTTCTTCTCCAGCTGTCTGAATTCAGTGTCAGAGCTAAAGTTCTGTGGAGACTTAGTATGGTGAAACAGATAACCTCTTTGAAGTAACCCTTTCAGGGGAAAAAAAAAACTTGACAGAAGAGCAAGTTATATTGTTAATAATACACTGGGTTTGACCAAATGGTGGGATGACATAGGCCTCTGTCTTAATTGCTCAATGTAGAACCACGTAATATTGTGGACAAGGAGTAAAAACAAATGTCACTGCGCTGAGAGAGATTTAGCATGCAAGCAGAATGATTGTTTCACTAATGTCAGATGAGAAATCTATAGGATCTTGCACTAAAACTTGGTGCTGTCTTGTTTCAGACCAACTTGACCTTTGTTGGCTGTGTGGGTATGCTGGATCCCCCAAGAATTGAAGTAGCGTCATCTATAAAGCTGTGCAAACAAGCTGGTATTAGAGTTATTATGATTACTGGTGATAATAAAGGTACAGCAGTAGCTATTTGCCGTCGCATCGGTATCTTTGTGGAAGATGAAGATGTTTCTACAAAAGCCTTTACTGGTCGTGAATTTGATGAACTCTCGCTTGCTGCCCAAAGAGATGCTTGCCACCATGCCCGTTGCTTTGCTCGTGTAGAGCCTTCCCACAAATCTAAAATTGTTGAGTTTCTGCAGTCTTTTGATGAGATTACAGCTATGGTAAGTAATTGAACTTTTACTAGGTTTGAAAGGCGCACGCTGTGTTTAAACCCCAATGATGCCTTTTCAGACTAATACCTTGTTCTGGAAAACACCTGCTTCCACATTTCCCTGAACTCAAAGCCTCAGAATAGTTCTGCATTTAAGTGATTTTTAAAGATCCAAAACCACACCCAGTGCAAAATTCCTTTCTGATCCTATATTTAAGTACCCGCTTTTGTTTGGTTGGTTGGTTGGTTTGGGTTTTGTTTGTTTGTTTTTTACTTTAAATTCTTGTTTTAGACTGGTGATGGTGTCAATGATGCCCCTGCATTGAAGAAAGCAGAAATTGGAATTGCTATGGGTTCTGGTACTGCAGTGGCTAAAACTGCTTCTGAAATGGTTTTAGCAGATGACAATTTCTCAACTATTGTAGCTGCTGTGGAAGAAGGACGTGCAATTTATAACAACATGAAACAGTTCATCCGTTACTTGATCTCCTCCAATGTTGGAGAAGTTGTTTGGTAGGTTTAAAATGTTTGTTTCTTTGAACTAGCATAGTAATGATGAGTCTTCTGTTATTCATTTAATTCCAGTATTTCTCACTAAAACTAGAGAAACAGGTTCTCTAGGTAATTGATCATTGTGATTGTGCGGAAGTCTGCACACTTCTAGCCTAGTCTTTACTGGAGAATTTTAGCATACCACAAAAGATTCACATTGCATTGCATATAATGTTCTAGCTCAGTAGGTGGCTAAATGCTTTACAGTTACTTCTGATCGGAATAATTCTCTAGAATAGGAAAATAAAAACCTTAATCAAATATTACAAGATCTGGTATTTCAGATAACTTAGTCACATATATAACTGAGATGTTCGTTTAATGTCAAGTTACAGAAGAATGTGTCTTATGTGTCTTTGGAAGGAATGGTGACCCAAGGCCACAGAATGCATTTCTGGTAACAGAATGTAAATATTGATCTCCTAACAGTTACTTATATCAAAGCATACTTTCTCCCAGAGTGGAATGTAATGCAGTAATTGTCTTCCCTTGTTTCTTGTAAACTTTAAAGCTGTCCTTCATATGGCTCTTGCTGCAGACCCTGTTTCTGTTCTGTTTATTCACACAGGCTTGGAGCCATGAAGGTTACATGCTCATTAAATTTTTGCAGGGACTAGTAGTAATCTAGCTAAATGAAGCTTAGTCATTTGAGCTAAAATGCTATTATGTCTGCAAAAGCTCTAGTGTCTTCTAGAAAGTGGCTTACAAGCCTTTATGCACATATGTATGTATTTACCTATACAGACAAGTAGAGCAGGGAAAAAAACAAGGCTAAAGCAGAAACTGTTAAATTCCCAAAGTTGCCAGAAGAAGATAATGCTTCAAAACTTATATGCTAGTGGTTAGAAGTGTTTGCTCTTGTGTATGTTTTCAGTTTTCTGAATGTGAATATTTAGCTTGCGATATTAAATGGATAACTCTGTATGAGAGAACAGAAGTGATGCTACAGGCTTAGGCTTAAGCGTTAAAAGGACTCATTTACATGCACAAGAATAAGCTTATAATTGGTGGGTTTTTTTATAGTATCTTCTTGACTGCTGCCCTGGGTTTTCCTGAAGCTCTAATTCCTGTCCAGCTGTTATGGGTAAACCTTGTGACGGATGGTCTCCCTGCTACTGCTCTGGGATTTAATCCTCCTGATCTTGATATCATGAATAAGCCACCACGCAACCCTAAAGAGCCACTGATCAGTGGATGGCTCTTCTTCCGTTACCTAGCTATTGGATGTAAGTAGTAATAGCTTTTTGGTTTTTTTAAGTAAACTTAGGCAGGTATTTTTTTATTTTTTGAGATCCACTTGAAAGCAGTTTGTCTAATCTCCTTGTATGCTGAAATCTTGAAAGCTAGCAATAGATATTCTGCGGAACTGGTATTCTTCCTTTGTTTTGTTTTGAGATTCACACTTTTGCTTGGCATGTTTGCAGACAGTGCCGTGATAGGAACAGTAAAGTTATGATTTATTTTGGGGTTTTTTCCATTGGTAGCAACTGAAGCATCAAAAGCCCTAGTTGTATAACATCAGTGTGACATTCACCACTTCATCAGAATCTTTTGATTTTTGACAACTAGGAAACCCTTAGAAATTTTATAACTGCCGTAGTGGATTAGACCTTCAAAATTGTCTGATGGTGGATGGTGTTACAGTCCTCAAAAGAGAGAAGGCCTTCAGGAGTAGATGAACTTAGGGCTGAGTCTGACCTCTGTTCTCAAGAAGCCACCTACTTGCCTTTTACCATTTGCCTCATTCCAGCCTGAAATACTTTTTAGCTCAAAGCATTGAGACAGCAGACTTCAGCTTGTCCATGCAATAACTGTCAGCCTTAGGAAGATGAGCATGTTGTGGGATTGGGAGTGAAGAGCCAAGACCAGCCATTAGTGAATGCGCACCTGCATTAGCTGTTGAGGTTGTATGTAGAACTACTTCTAAATCTGAAAATGGCTACTGTCATGTATCTAACCTAGCATTTTTGTGCTTAAGTAGAACAACACAATAGGTTTGCTGGCCTGGCTATAATTGGGGAAAATAAAGGAGTATCAATTTATTAAATCAATGAACATAGATTTAAACCTTAAATATAGCTATAGTACTGTAAAGCTAGAATAAGTATCTATGTGGGTACTTACTGTACACTGTCTTCATGCCTGAAATTGTCATCTTAATTGTCCTAACCGACTTCGTAGATCTTGAAGTGAGTAAACCTCAGTATTAGTTAATGTAAGTACAGACACATTGGGTTCTGGGAGGAAAAAAGAGAAATTGCAGGTTGATTACTCCAAGTGATACCCTTGTTTACCTTAAATTCTAGCTGTCAGCTTCCATAAGCAGATAACAGAATCTGTCCAACAGTACAGTATTTAATGGTTATTTAAGTTACAACTGGTGGAGCAGATTTATTGCATAGGAGATAGATTAATTACAATATTTTTTTACACTACTGAAAGTTTTGAGGTAGAAGTTCAAGTGTGGCAAGTGAGATCTTGCATGCAGTTCACAACACTGAAAAAAGCACTTTGTTTTCTTTAAGGTTATGTTGGCGCTGCCACAGTGGGTGCTGCTGCATGGTGGTTTATTGCTGCTGATGGTGGTCCAAGAGTTACCTTTTATCAGCTGGTATTTGCTCAGTTTAATATCTTTGGGGGGAGAGGGGAGGTACATGCTTCTTTCATAGTTACTTAACTGTAGAAAAACAGTAGGTTACAGAAATTTATACAATGAGATGTTTTCAGACTTATTACTGTAAAACTTCATCATACTTAGTCTTAATAATAAAGCTCAAAGGTGGAATACCTGAGCTTCTAAACAGTTTGAAGGACTAATTGTTGTCTTGTAAGTAAAAGACTAATGGGAATTTTTCTAAAGCTGGCAGAAGTTTAAAACCAGTGCTTTTTGGAGTCATATTAGAAAGTTTTGGTTTTGTAATACTTGCTGCTTATTTCATAATTGCCTGTTTTACACTGTAAAAGTTAACAAGCTGTGAAAACTGAGTTCACGTTGTTCTGTTCTAGAGCCATTTTCTGCAGTGCAAAGAGGACAATCCAGATTTCTCTGGTGTTGACTGTGTGGTTTTTGAGTCTCCATATCCAATGACAATGGCTCTTTCTGTACTTGTCACCATAGAGATGTGCAATGCTCTCAACAGGTTTGTATATCCAAATAGGAAAGCAAAGCTGCTGCTAGCTTATCCAAAATCCTACTTTTTGTGCAATTTGATTCTTAGTGTATGGACAGCTCAACTAATGAAGAATGAGTCATACTTCCTTTCTGAATCCTGGTAGTGCAAACAAAATTACTCTCTTAGATAACATTTGAGATCTGTTATCATAAGGTATATTTTTAAGTCTGCCAATTCACTCTGGTATTGTACTAAGCATGAGCAACTGAAATATTTTCCATTATTTCTAATCTAAGCTTAATCAATCAGATTATCCCTCCTATGTTGGTATAAAGTGATACCAAGGAGAACTAAAATAAGAATGCTGAAGATACGGAAAATAGTTTTTCTTGCCCTAAGGGAGTGTGGGTTTAGCCAATTAATATTAGATTATAAATGGAAACCACTAAATAGCACAATGTCAAGGGTATTTTTCTTCAAATAGCTTAGAGGTCAGTTAATTTAAAAACAAATAAACTTTAAATACAAGCGTACTGCAGTAGTCCTACATAGTAAGATACTGCTCTACATCTGATGTTCTGGATCTCAGCCTCTTCTGCAGCATAGCCTAAATGCAGCTTGAATCGGAAGAGCAGAATTAAAGAACAAGCATTAAGAAGCTGCAAGTACTTGACCCTCTGTATATCCAGTCTTTAAGTGAACTTCAGAATTGGATGCACTAGGTCCCCCGGCATACAGTAGACTGGGAAGGATTCTGTCTTATGCTGCCATGCCCATCTTTGCCTTACTCCTCCCACGGACAGGATGTCAAGGTCTTAGTGAAAAAGGTAGACTAGATCAACAACAAGCAGAACACACAAAAGCTTTCAAAAAATAAATGTGAGGCTGAACTGTGACTGCTTTGCTAAGCAGACTTCCATGGTAGTTTAAAGTTGCAACACAGATGCCAAGATATGGTTTATCTATTTCTTTCCTTAATGACTGGGATAATTGTGACTTGGCATGCTGTTTTTCTTTCCAGCTAGTTTTCTGATGTACTGAATTTTCTGTTGATGTCTTATGTACACATGTGTACCATGTTTCTGTTGCAGTCTATCAGAAAATCAGTCCTTGATGAGGATGCCCCCATGGGAAAATATCTGGCTGGTGGGCGCTATTTGCTTGTCCATGTCACTCCACTTCCTTATCCTTTATGTGGAACCGCTGCCAGTAAGTCCGTGTATCTTGTACCCATCCCTGAACTTGGGAGATAGAGCAAAAACTTGTCTGGAGCTTAAGGCAAGGGATGGAGGGGGAGAAAAGATGTAATGCTTGGCTTTTCTTTCAGATTATCTTCCAGATCACACCTTTGAATGTGACGCAATGGCTGATGGTATTGAAAATCTCACTACCTGTCATTCTGCTGGATGAAACACTTAAATATGTGGCCCGTAACTACCTGGAACCTGGTAAAGATAGTGTGCGGCCTGCCACCAAACCATGTTCTTTGTCAGCATGCACCGAAGGAGTTTCCTGGCCGTTTGTGTTCATTACTATGCCCTTGGTTATCTGGCTTTACAGCACAGACACTAACTTTAGTGATATGTTCTGGTCTTGACTGACATGGTGACAAGTTTTACATTAAAAGAAAAAGTTTAACTTAATTTTTTTATTGTTTAGAGCAACTGTCTATTTCTGCTGAATTTTCACATGAACATATTTGCCGGTGATGGAGGTTTCATAATCTAGATTTTGGTTTTTTGCTTTTTCTGACTTCAGTGGGGGCAATATATTCCTCTTTTATACACAGTTAAAGTGTCCATTGACATGTACAGAGAACTAACACTATTTTATGCAAATATTTTTTTGTAGATGAAAAGCATGTACAGTGTTCTGTTCAATAGTCTATTCATCATGTAAAAAAAGTAAATTTTTTTTTTGAGCCAGCGGACACTATCAAACTAAATTGGCAGCAGATTTTAGGGAATGAATGTGTGTCGTCTAAAACTAAAAAAGCATGTAACTGTTTGTCTTCTGCATGATCATCCAAACTTAATATGTCATAAAGTCAGGTTTTATTCATAAGCAGAACTTTCTGCACTGGGTAGAGAGTACTGCTACCTCAGTCAGGATTTCTTCTTGGGTTCCCCTCTTCCTGTTCCTCACTCTCGGTTCTTGACTGTCCTTGTTTACACCTGTTTCTGTATGAGGTATGCCTAACCTTGCTCGTGCAGAAAATATCATTCCAGGTGCAGCCTGCTGGGGTTCTTCCATACTTTCAACACACATAGGGTTGTTTTTTTTTAAGATTATTTATTTAAGTGTCTATTGTATTTTATTGTAACAGACCTTATTTTGCCAGTGTTGCCCATTATGCAGGGATAGGGAGGGCTACTTCTATCTACTTAAATCTAAACCAAGCCTTTTTAACAAACACAATCTGTTTTAATTCCAAAAGAGGGTTTAAGTTGGGTTTTAATACCTTATTTACGTGTGTCAGATCCTTTCTTTTTCTCTTCCCCACCCCCCCACTTTAAGATCAAACCTTGTAATGAGACCTGGAAAAATAACTTGCACTGCATAGTTAGAAATTGGATTTCCTACACTTAGGGCACTAATAATCAGAGTTGTGTACATGGAGTTACTCTGCTGGCCTGTTGTTAGCCTGACTTGAAGTAACAAGCTCGTGTGTGTTTTTTGTAAAATCTGTAAATAGCACATGACCAAATTGAACATATTGTATAGAACTATTTTTATTTTAATGTGGCACTAACCACCTTCATTATTACAGTAAATGTTAAAGCATGTTTTCAAATTCAGTCCTGTATCAACAATGTGTAAGTCATTAACAGTCCTAACTGTGGTGTTTTTCTCCAATGCCTTCCAACTTTCATCGACTAAAGTGAGTATTTTTCTTCCATTTCACCATGCCAGTGGTGACTTGCTGTAAAATAGCATATGCTGTATACATGTTGAAGAATAAATAGTAATTTCCTTCATTCCCATGCTGTGTTTTGTCAAACTCTGCTGTGCTACATTATTATCACCACTTTAGACTCTTTGTTTTGTGGTCTGAAGCTCAAATTGCTGATTCCAAAGGCAAAGCACTTGCTTTTGGTTTAGTGTATTTTAGGTCTTGTTTTATAGCACCCAGGAGCCTTAGTGCCCCAAGATCTTAAAGCTTTTGGTCTTAAGTTTGAGATAAAATTGGACAAATCTGTAACTGAAGACAGCAACAGCTGTTCACATGAATGTTTAGTGTCCAAAACACTCTGGTACTTGTGGTCAGGTGCTGGTTTACTCCAAAGCTTTTTCCTGCCCTGAAACGGGGGATGCCCCTCGGAGCTGACCACCCTTCCCCTGGTCTCTGGTATCTGCAGTGCTCAAAGTGCTGGCACTCCTCTTTGCAACAACAGCTTATTGTTTCCAGTAAGTGGAAACACTTTGTACAATGGTCATATGAAAAGACAAAAGAACAGTCTCAGCTTAACAGATAGTCTTTGAAAATTGTACTGGGGTCATTATGTCTTTGTAGAGTAGCAGGTGCTGTGTTATCTTGTGCTGGCTCAGTCTGCTTTAGTAACCAAGTTCAAACAGCTTTCTGATTCCTCATAGAGGAGAATGATAGTTAAAAGCTATGTTGTGTTGGTGCCAGCTGGAATCCAGTGAGCACAGATAATTCTCTAGATTTCAAGCTTTCTAATACAGATGCTAACCTCAAAATACACAGACCCTATCTGAAACTCCACTGCATTGTGAATACCCACTGTTTATATAGACTTTGACTTAAGTTGATGCTGAAGTGACTCAGGTAGGGGAGCTGGACCTGATGATGTACATGTGTTTGCTGAACTGTAAGCATTTAAATACTGTTGAATGCCCTCTTTAGTGTGGAAGAACTTGTCTTTGCCAGACTAAGGTTTTGCATACCACAAAATCAATGGCCAGCACTGGCCACTTAGTGTATCAATAATAAATGAGGAATCTGAGACTTGTCCCTCTTTCTTGAAACAGGAAACTAATAGGTCATGTGAGTCAGGATTCCTTGAGATCAAAATATGTACAAATTGGAAACAAATGCTAGCAAGTTAGTTGTATGTGGTCCCGACATAATGGACAAACTTTTTCCAGGGCAGGAATGCCACTGAATCTTTGAACGCTGGTTCTGAGTGAACTTCCAGAGCACCATGTTGGTGGGCTTTTTAAAGCCATATATCTGACTGTCACCATGAACAATTCTGCTTCTTGTACAGTCCTATTCCTGTCTATTATGCCAAATAATCCTGCTATACACCCCCTTTTTCCCTGTCTCTAAGAAGCTGAAGGGGAAAATGACAATAAGTAGAATTCAGTCTTCAACAACTACTTTGTTGGATCTCTGTCTGTGTTGAAGATAAATCTTACTGCTTGTGTCATGGATTTCCTTACTGACATCTGGGAGCTCACTTGTATCGCATGTCTTGGGGGCACTTGCATTAGGGCCTTGTGTTCTTGGAGTTTGCCTTTGAAAGCTGGATGACTGGTGGCTAAATGGAGTGGCATTCATCCCTACAGGCTCCTGAGGTTATGGGAACAGTCAAGTTTTAGAAGGTGTTCCTAAAGAGCCCAGGCATCTTAATCTACCCTGTTTTTCTTCTATTTGTCCCAGTCTTGCTGTCTAAATTTTCCTGTAGAAATGGAGCAATAGGGTTCCCTAAGATGAGCACTTACTTATCTCAGGTTCAATGGCAGCTGTTGCTATGCTTTCAAGTACTCTTCTTTTTTCCAAGTCCTGCCACTCCCTAGTAAATACCAGCCTTGTGGGGTCTGGACTGGCCAAATGTTAAGACCTACCATGAGCTTCCTCCTAGGCAGTGAAGCATCCTGCCCTGAAATCGCTGTCTGTTGCAAGCTTCCTTGTGATCTTGGAGCTGGAGTGCTGTGGATCTGGTCTTAACCTTTCTCAGTTGAGTAGGCTGTGGATAGTTGCTTGAGTGCATTTCTGATATTAGAATAGCATAAGGCAACTGATGGCTTGGCTTTTCAATTATAGAAACTATGGAAATAACAGTGCAAAGTTAGTAATGCACTGCAAGAAAACGTGAACTAAAATTATTATACTTAATTGTGTAGATCCTGCCATTCTTTAGCTGTCAGTCCTCTCATCTAGGGAGGCCAAGAAGAGAGGACTTTTCGATTTAGAATAGACTTACTTGCCAAGATGTCCAAGTTGAAACTCTCGCTTAATTTCTTTGTTCCTGACATAGTTCCTCCCCAACCTCCTCACTGTACCAGGGTCATCTGAGGATAGAACTAGGTAACTCCTATTTTAATGTGTTAGCCCTGTGAATATGTAAATGGAAGCACTTATTTAAGCAGAAATAATGTAGAGTTACCCAGGCTTTATCTCCCACACCATTTTTAGAAAATAACTTTATACTTTTTGTTTCCCTTTGCTCTCATCTCACTGAGCTTTTTCATCTCCACCGTTTTCTGGATTTTTTTAGTGTCCTCACATATCAACTTATTTTCTAGTGCGAGAGGTATGTAAGACTAGTATCAATCATGTGATTGATGCTACCTTATGCTCGGAACAGCAGGGATGATATCAGCTTATGCTGGGAAACCAGTGGGGTTTGGTATGAGAGCAGCTCCTCCTGAATTCAGTGTTCCGTAGCCTGGTCCAAATCAGAGCAAAGAAAATGGTCAGGCAGCTGCAGTCATAGGTCAAATATTTAGACAGGGGCTTTTATCTTCATAGTGCCTCAGGCCTCTGCTTTCAAATCAGAGTGATTCAAAGTACTGTTGAGAGCTACACAACGAGCTGCTCCTTTGTGCTGGCATCCAAGCAATAAAAATAGTTCATACTTGGTTTCCCAAACTATTATTGCAAATAAATAAGTCTGAAAGAAGCTGCAGAAAAATATATGCCAGTCTGTCAAAATGCTATGAGGCTTATGTTTGTAGGGAGGCTATTTTAGAGAAGGCTAATCGTAAGAAAATGAGGTTTTAATCTGATGATAAAATGCAGTACAGCAGTCCTCTGTCACTGTTCCAAGAACACAGCTGATGCACAGAATATATGTGGTAAACAGCTTAAAGATGGTTGAATTTGCTGAGATGAAGGGAGGTAAAACTGATACAAAGTTGTCTGTCTCTTGCACCTGTCTTGTTTACTTTTTTGCACTTCTAACCATTAACTGTTTCCCTAATCTCTGCTAATTACATCCTTAATTACATTAATATGCATTTTCAAATCTTAGCAGGAGAGCCTAAATTTTATAGTGTTGAAGCAGTGTTTTGAAGAGCCACCATCAAGTTCTAGGGAATGAGAGTACACTGTTCTTCTCTCCTAGACGCAAGGCTAACCTTTTGCTGTATTTTAGGGGTAAAGTACAGTAGGAGCTTTATTACGTTGTACTCTACCCTTTGCCTATGCATTAATCTGTGTAGTTTAATGACTTCTTCAAAGCTTTCCTACTACTTCCCAGAATAAGCTGCATAACTTGGAAAAGGGACATTGTTAGGTCACTTTGGGGCCAAACTTGTAATATAATGCCTTGATTAGAAAAACACCCCTACAGTTCTTAAAAACTTGAGCTCAAACTGTGTAGTATGGAACTTGAAAGTAAAAATTACAAATAAGTGAGACTTGTCTATTGCCACTAGTGAGGCAGAGAAAGGCAAAAGCTCTCTAAATATGTCTGAATTTTTTGCTGCAGTCTTCTGTAGGAAGTACTGGCTTTGCTGATGATAGAGAGCTCTGCTGCATTCAGAAGAGCTGAGCCATAATCCAGAGGTTTCTGGGCTTTAAGAACAGAGTAACCTGAGAGTGTCCCTTCAATGACAGAGCAGCCAGTTACCAAACTTAACATTCTTTCTTCTGTCACTGTTGATCTTAGTCTTGCTTGTATAATGATACTTAGCGTTCATCCTTTCATTAACTGATGCCTTTTCTTTCTTTCCTTTTCAGCAATACTGGAGTAATCGCTTCCTAAACAATTTTGCAGAAATGTAAGGTTGTTTTGTTGCGTGCATGTGTTTTTAGCAACACATCTACCAAAACTTCTGCATGTATCATGTGTAAAGATTCTTTGCTTTCCCTAAAACAAAACTCATTGTGTTCTCTGTGGAAGAAATGTGTGGTACCATTAGGACTTCATTATACAGATGTACAAACGTGCAATATAGCTTACTGAATTGGAAACTCTCTCCAGAGAAGTTTGGTTTCTGTGCTGCATGGAGAAGAGTTTGTTTATCCTTGAACAAGAATTGCGGAGCTGTCAGCCAATTTTCCATATTTCTGTATGTAAAATGTCAAGTTTATACAATGTACAATATCAAAATAATGCATGCCTTTGGTTGTAGACAAATCTTTCTCTGTATTGTATCATCCAAACATACTACTCTAGAACAGCTTATGTACAATGCTATCCTATTTATAAAATTAATTGAAAAGATTACAGATGAATGTTAAACCATAAGCCTCCAGTTCCTAACTTTGGATTTTTTTATCATGTGTGCAAATCAACCTCTTTTGCACTGTAATGTAACTTATTTAAATCTAAGGCAGTAAGACAGATGTTGGTGCAATACAAAATATTGTGATGCATTTATCTAAAAAGCAGCAACCGACTTAGCCAGTTACCACAACTGCATGTATGACCTTTAGAAGTTGTAAATAAGATCAATTGTCTATTTACATGCTGTCAGTAAGAAGCATCACACCTAGTTTCATTTGTATCAGGTAAATAAATTTATTCTACAATACATACTTTGCGTGTTATTTTATGCACTTTGTTTTCTGCAGGTACGTGCGTACATACTTCAGCGTTCTCTTATAGTAATGCCAGGATGACACTTAATAGCACCAACACCATTGCAATCTTTCCTCCTAGAACTATGCAGATGCCAGCTGCTCTTCCGGCAGTATTGACCTCCTCGCTGGTGTGATTTCTTCTGTCCAGGGGCTTGTGTGTGTGTGTGTGTGTGTGTGTAAGGGACACTGTCAAGTACTTTGATCACTCAGTTTTTTTAAAATGCTCCATTGTTTGTAAAATCCCTCTGAGAAACTTAAAATAAACATTTCTTTCCCAACTACATCTTTATTTTTTTGTCCTTTTCTATTTTCTAAATTGCCCCAACCTGAAGTAGCTGCTAGTCTCTTCCCCTGTCCATAGGCAATAGGAAGAACTACAAAGCACACACTACAAGTAGCCTGCTGGCAGTGCTTCTGTCTGTTATGGCTTACTCCATTCCCCAAACCATGGCTATTCTGCAGCAGCGCAGCTCCTGTGACAAGCTCGGAGTGCAGGCTCAGTGTTAAGTCTTTGGCAAGACTAAAGCACCCCAAGGGCAAAAGCTGGATTTTCTAAGTAAGTGTCCTGTAACACTCTGCTCCAAAGCCCATAAACTAAGTTTTGTTTGGAGTAAGAGGAAGGGGAGCCTCTCGACTTCAGCCAGCTTCAGTAATGTTTTAAATTAAGTGTAATGCCTCTCAACCTCCAGCGTGTGATACCAGCACACTTGCTAGCAAAGCATTATCCAAATGAGGTGATGTGTCGGAGACCCTTCAAACACAACCCTGTGAGGTTTAAAAATACTGGGGTTGAATTCCGTTGTTCAGTGAACCATAGCATGGTGGAGGATGCATTAATACCTAGGGCTGAAGTGCTTGTGGCTGCTTCCTACTATGGTAGTGTTGTAAGCGAGCTGAGCTCTGCTCCTAACCTCTGGGCTGGGGCTGTCAGAACCAAGTTCAGCACTCGGCTGTTATCTACAGCTGCAGCTCTTCCTGCAGTCTTATTTATAGCCTGTCTTCAGCACACACCAACAGCCCTGTCACCAGCAAACCTTCCCAGCTGGTCCACTGCAGACAGTACACCCAAAGGCAGTGGCAGGTTTCTCGTTAATGCTTATGCAGACACCTGAGCTAAATTATTAAAGTCATTTTTCCAGAACACAGTGGAAAAAACTGCCCCATTAGCACCTCTTCCCTTGTCATAACCTCTAGCCTTGCTTCAATTAGGAAGCAATGAGAGGAAAAGTGAGGCTCACTTTCTCAGCAGAAGGCAGATCAGGTCCTAGTTTCTCGGCCCTACACTTGCCTGTGTTGTACTAACACATCTGTGTGAAAGTTACTCCTGCTGCCCAGCTGATCTGCTGCCCCTTTTTTCAACTTGCAGAAATTCTTTCACCAGCACTGGCACCAGATGTAAAGATTAGTGATGATATGAAGTCATTATTCAGAAAATGGCTCTCGCTCCCAGTCTGTGCTGCTGTTGCAGCAAGTTACATTCCACGGATGGTTTCAGCATCTCTGCATTCAGACAGCACCTCGCTGGTGAGCGGAGCCCAAGCTCATAACTTATTTTTAAACATTTCTTTAAATTATGATCTGCAAGCTTAACTCATAACAAGTCACCCAAATGAACTGCAAGCAGCACTTTGGAGTACAGCCATATGAAGAAAACGTGACATTCAGTGCGTTGCTAGGTACTCGAGTGCAAGAGTATGTGGTAAGAGATGCTGAGATAAACAGCTTCATCTTCCCCTCCTCCTCCTCCTCTCACTGCAAACCCCTGGCTCTAAAGTGGTGCATGGATGAGCCCACTGACAGCCACAGAGCAAGGAAACAGTCCCCCACAGCTCAAGTTATTGGGCTTTACAGACATATTACATCAAACTGTAAATACAGAGGGGAGAAAATAGCCCTGTTTTTACATTAAGGTGAATTTGTGTATGATTGGAACTGACATCCACACCCAGGAAAGTGGGCGAGAAATGAGAAAAGCCTCTGGAGGAGGAGATGGCAAATTTTCTTCGCAACCTCAGATAGGAAAAAGCCACAGGACTGCAGAAGGAAGACCAGCAATCCACCCTCTGCTCAGTCGGCAGAGCTCTGAGCACCTGAAGAGCTCTTCTAAAATATTTCATCCCAACAATTTAACCCAATGTGGAAGTGCGGAGAAGCCTTTGGACATCAGTTTAGCAGGCTGAGGCTATTTGCCTAATCAGGTCAAGTCCCTGCCCTTTGTTTAAACAGAGATGGTGGGAACTGAATCTAGAAGGGTTATTCCCTTCCCCCTCCTGGAGCAGCTGGCAGGGAATGGGCAGTATGATGGGAGCGCCTAGACACTTGCATTTGAATTAGTGCTTTTGGGGCAGTGCCAGCTTGGACATAAGCCAGACACAGGATTTTGCTGACATCAGCAACATTAAGAGAAGAGGTAAAAATTCTGGCTCTTCAGGCATGGCAAAGGAAAGGGCTTCTAGGCCAATTTTACATGTATAGGTTCAGGAGCCTGAGGAAAGCAGCTGAGAGACAGGGACTTTTCAACACAACGTGGTGTGAGCTGCCCTTCGCACGTCACTCAGCCCAAAGAGATTGTCCACGTCCCTGCAGACAGTCCCCCTGACTCTGAATGGTGGTCAGCCTCCAAAAACTGCTTGGTGTGTCCCATTCATCCTCTCTGAGGCAGAGATCAATTGAAATAAAGTTCAGAAACAACAAATGCCCAAAAGCTGATAAGCCCAGCCTGCTACAAACCCACTGCTATTTATGCAGGTGGCGGAGTCAATTTTTCCTACAGAGGCAGGCAAGGAACACTGCTTTACTGCTGGGCTAAGATAACATCAGCGGCTAACAACAATCAGGCTGCAACCAGCTCATGCCTTCGTAACCAAGTCACGCAGCTCCAGCGTACCGTGATTGCAAAACACCGAGCATTTTCATCTTGCGCCTGCTGCTGCCCCACATGCAGCAAGGCAGGACACCCCAGACAGAAGTCGTGACTGAAAAGAAGTTTCTCTTGTCACTGCCCTTAGCCATGACTTAAGCACGAACACGGACCTTCAGGTTAGATACGAGACTGACCTGCAGCAGGCAAACCATGGGCAGAAAAGCTCCCACCACCCCTTAACTCATCAAATGTGTGTCCTTTCCCTTCCTGGAAGAACAACCTCACCGTCCATAGCCAGGCTGACTTGGGGGGGCTGCCATGCCAACAGTGATTCATGGTGGAGCTCTTCAGCTTTCCAGGGATTCCTGCCAAATACTCGTCACCTCACCATGCTGCAATCAGCAATTCCAGTCTTTGCTGTGGACACAGGTCACCTCTGGCTATAAGTTATGGATACCAAATCCTGTACCATTATAAAATCTAAGCCTCTGGTTTGTGGGCACTGTCAGCTTCTCGGGACATCCCACCAACGGGCTTTATGCTTTCGGTGAACTGACAGCACAAGAACCCAAGCCACAGCCACTCATGCATGCTCACAAACCAGCCGTCAGGTGCTGGAAATTTCAGCCTCAACCGGAGAGTATGGACTCATGATGGGCTGCTTTCCAAACTCCACGCTGCTCCTGCTCACAGCTCCCAAGCCTCTCATAGATTAAAAAACAACAAAAACAAACAAAAAAACCCCCCAAACCAGAAGGAAATCACTATAGCATTGACTAGATCTCCACTCCTTCAGACAAGGCGTGCAAACACCAGGTGGCCTGTCAGAAACCAAGGCCAAGTTTCCAAAGCACACAGAACCTGCTTTAACAAGTCCTCTGCCTCCCAGAGTTACAGAAGATCCCTGAGCAGCACTGCTGACATTTTTTGCCTACATCCCAGCATTGCGTCAACCAGATTCCACAATAAAACAGCAAAAAGTTGTATGTGACATGCCAAAACGAGCCTGAAGAATGAATGTGCGTGCAGCACAGCACCAGATCTATATCAGCACATATAACTAAACCAGAGAAAGGCTACTGCTGCCAGTGGCTGGCTACCGCAGTGGGAAACCAGGCGCTCATTCCTTTATTCCAGGTTGAAGGACAGAGCGAATAAAGGTGTTGAAGCACCTAAAACTGAAGTCCTGAATTCCTTTCTCAAGTTGATGCTGACCCTGGAGCACTCAGACTTCCCAGGATACTTCTCTCTTCTTCTTGGAAATTGCTCTAACTCCTGAAGTCGCTTTTCTGCATCTACTCAGAGCTGCAATGGTAGGACCAGCTCAGCATTTAGCTCTTCCCTACACCTTAATCAGGTTCCACGTGCTCATTAGGGAGGTCTCTACCTAAACCAGAAAGGCTTTTATCCAACAGATGTACTTTGAAAGACTAACAACATCCAACCTTTCACAAAAAGGAGCTGCTGATGCTCTGATCTTAAAGCCTAATGGGATTAAGAGCTCCCTTCACCAGCTGCACAGCAGGCGTTGGTCTTTGAAGTCTTTACCAAGACACTTCCATCTTGGTGAAAGCTCCGCTGGCAGCATCCCACCAAGCTACTCAGTTCCTCTTTTACTTGTCGCTAACAGCCCAGTGGAAAGGCAATTCTTACTGGGTTGGCACTGGGACTAGACTGGGGTTAGGAACAGGCCGTAGGCTTTCCCCTCCCCTCAGGGCAGTCGAGAGGAACGGCCAAGTTCTGCCTGTGATAGGCACTGCTTCCCTTTGTGCCATGGCTGCACACTCAGCAGGTTGGTGTCTGACCCAAGGAATCCCTGTAGGAAGTTGTATCCGTCTCTACACGTATTTAAGGCCAGATGATTGATGTTCTTTCCAGCACATAAAGCCACTGAATTCATGGCATGGATGGTAAATCACAGTGCAAAAGGAGATGAAACCCATCTGTTTCCTAATCACCCTTTTCAGGCAATAGAGGCAGCAGGTACAAAAGCAGAAATCAAAGCACAGCACAGGAGGGGTTAAACCCCTTTTGCAAAAACTCAAATATTTCCAGGGCTGGAGCGTTACTGGGTAGAAGGTCCTTAAAACTTCTCAGAGGCCAATATTTCCATAAGGGGAGCAAACACTTGACCTCCAGCCTTATCGAATTGGCCGAGTTTCAGCGTGACATTATCCTCCACAGAACACACACAAAAGTTCGCTGGAGCCACCACCTGCTTTCCTACCTATTAAAAGCCATCCTGGCAAGCTGAGGAAAGGTTGAAGTCTGTCTCCGTACCCTGTTCCTCCCCTTGTAACAGCCAGAAGCAACACGAGAATCCAGTAGCTACCCAGGCCAGCTAGAACTTAGGCTAATAAAAGAATTCTTGTTTCTTTCAGAGTAATGCCAAACTTTCCCTGTGTTAGTTAAATAGAT